GGGATCAAAGAGAATGGTCAGTGGGATCTTCCTAAAGAGGAAAAACAGATACTTTCTGATTTTCTAACAGTATGATTTGGGGATTATTCTGATTCCTCCCCCCAGATAACCCCCTTGGGCAATCTCCCTCTCCATAGGGCTCATCAACAGTGTGAGCAAAGATGAGAGAGATGAAATGCAGAGCTACCTTGACAACAGCTCTGCTGAGTGATTTGGTTTGAGAAGAGACTGTAACTGCTCTAGAATCTCATTCTAGCAGACCAGCCATGTCAATGGTTATAACCTCCTTGAGGTGCATTTTAATTTTTCCAACCCTCTCCAGGTTTGGATTTATCCTACAATCTAATGTGGAGGGTGTCTTCCCCTTTATGATTTTTTGAGGGGCAAAGAAATAGGCATTGGCCAATCCTATGTAAAAACCAGGTCATAGAAAGCTATGGTTTGAGATAGGCACTTCCAGAGAGTGGCTTGACCACACAGGGAGGTGGCTTTTACAATAAAAGATGTTCTTCAGGAGCAACAAAGTTGTTATGCCCATTTTACAGTTGGCAGCACAGAGCTTTAGAGAGAGAAAGTAAGTTTTCTCTCATTTATGTAAGACCAAGAGCATCTGACTCTAAGGCCCTCAAGCTCTAAAGCTCTTTGCTATTCTACCTCTCAGCATCTCCTAAGAGAATCAGAATTTCAAACTGGAAGGTGATCTGGTTCATCCTTTATTTTCTAGATGACAGATTGAGAACCTTGTCTAAGGACTGAGGGTGGGCTGGTAAAAGCATATCACCTAAGGCAAGAGATAGCAGAACCCAGAAGTGCATGCTGCGCAACTGTATGGATTTTATATTGAGGAATGTCTAACAGGTGAATTCTGGAATTTTATATCATTTTAAGGTTAATGTGGCAAATTCATAAATTTAGGGACAAAGAAAAAGAATTCGATACAGGGGTCAGCCAAAGTAGGTTTACAGTTGCGAATGTACAAAACAGAGAGTTTATGCTTCTATCATTATTTACTAATTATTGTATTACTTATTTGTACAATCCACTTTTGTCCACCCCCTATAATTACTCATTAAAAGAGGAGCATAAAAAGGTCCTTTGGGGTAGATTGGAACAAGATCGAAAAAGGCAATTTTGGGGAAAATTAAGACAGAAAGTTTTTGTGTGAGAGTGAACATATTTAAATTTGAAATGACAATGAAATGGCCAGAAAAAAAAAATCAAGTGAAATAGCCAAGGACATGGAAAGAACTGGTGGGCCTTCGCCTGCTGCAGGAATTGCTTGTTTGGGGAGATGGGGTGGATGGAGAGAAAATCGCTCTTTTTTATTGTTGTGCAAGCTAAAAATGGTAAGGCTGCCTTTTGAAAATTGATCTACTCTTTATTTTACTGAAAAACAAAACACAGAACAGAATATGAGTCATTTGGATTTATACACGGTTCCCACAAGAACCCAAATTACAAGTAGGATAAAAATCATCTTTTTGGCATTCATTTCGGGCCAAATAGTTCTCCTTAAAATTGGATGAAAGCTAAATGCCAGTGCTGTGGCCACAGCCTTGCTTTGCTTCCTGGGCTGGCTTTCTGGTGTCACATCCCCAGGAGTGGCCTGGACAAGTTTGCCTTTAGGTTTTCCCACTGTCCATTACAAAGCCTTCTGCCTCCTTGGAGGGCACACTAAGAACACCCTGTACCCACACTGTCCCTACAGGCTGGTGTCTCTTGTCCCTCTCAACCAAGAGGCCTATCCCTTTGTCCTTCTCTTTATCTCTTTCCAAAACTATCAGTGCTTGTCCTTGGGTCCCTACTCTCAACAATCTTACAAACTCATTTACAGAGTCACTGAGTCATTGACCAGCAATAAGTTTGGCATTTTTATTTCTCAGAAGCATTTGCTTCCTCTTTACCATCCCACCCCCAACTTTGAAGTAGAAGCCCTAACCCCTTACCCAGAATGAAACATCGCTTTTTAAAAAAAAATTACATTTTATTGATTTTTTACAGAGAGGATCTTGTCCCTCTCAACCAAGAGGCCTATCCCTTTGTCCTTCTCTTTATCTCTTTCCAAAACTATCAGTGCTTGTCCTTGGGTCCCTACTCTCAACAATCTTACAAACTCATTTACGGAGTCACTGAGTCATTGACCAGCAGTAAGTTCGGCATTTTTATTTCTCAGAAGCATTTGCTTCCTCTTCCCCAACTTTGAAGTAGAAGCCCTAACCCCTTACCCAGAATGAAACATCGCTTTTTTAAAAAAAAATACATTTTATTGATTTTTTACAGAGAGGAACGGAGAGGAATAGAGAGTTAGAAAGATCGATCAGCTGCCTCCTGCACACCTCCCACTGGGATGTGCCCACAACCAAGGTACATGCCCTTGATCGGAATCGAACCTGGGACCCTTCAGTCCACAGGCCGACGCTCTATCCACTGAGCCAAACCGGTTAGGGCGAAACATCGCTTTTTATTAGAATTTAGGGCACTTAGAAGGGTAGCCTGCTCTTCTGACCTTGGTCTCCTTTCACAGATCTGGACTTTGGCACAAGCTGTTTTTTCTGCCTGGAATGTCCTCTCACTCCACCATTTCTATTTGGTGAAATTCCTGCTTAGTGTCCATAACCCTTCCCAAAGGTGATCTCTATCCAGAAAATCTCCCTGACTCTCTAGAACTGGCTACCCCGGGAGCCACTACCCACGTGAAGCTGCTGAGCCCCTGAAAGGGGAGTCCTCCAAAGTAAGACGTGCTAAAACGCACATCGGATTTATAAAACTTAGCATGAAAAAATAAAAGATCTCACTATTTTTTATATTGATTACATGCTGAATGCCGGGAGCCAATTCCAGCATGACAGCAAAGGTTTAATCATCTGGAGTGGCAAGGGCATTTCCCCAAACCTGAAAAGGGATGATTGTTTGCTGCCAGACAGCTCAGGGCATCTTAATCTACATGTTATTGCCTCCTACTGGCCAAACACCTGAACAGCCATAGGCTAGTACTTCCAATCTGACAATGGACTGTGTATATGAAACCTACCCTTTGAAGTGTATATCTCCACCTCACCTCAGGACAATTTGTGTTAATAAAAAGCATGGGGTCCTGAGACTAAGGAGATCTTAGTTTCTTTAGCTAGGCTCCTCTGACCCCCAATATGCCTTTCAAAATTATGCTTTGTCTCTGGACTCTTTATTAAGTTACACACAGCCCCTTCTCCAGATTGCTGAACCCTTCTTAATGCCGGAACAAGAACCCCGGCAGCTGAAATAATAATATTTTGGATATATTGAGTTAAGGAAAATATGTTATCAAATCAATTTCATGTGTTTCTCTGTACTCCTTTTTAATGTGGCCACTAGAAAAGTTTCAGTGACATCAGTGGCTCATGTTTGTGGCCTGCATTCCGTTTCTGTGGGTGGCACTGTGCTCGTGTCTAGACCAGTGGTTTTGAAATGGCAGTGGGAGCTGAAGCATGCAGCTGCTTTCTGTGTGCATGACCTTGGAGTGGCACTTTGGAGTAAAATAATATGTTTCTGATGTATGTCAATAACATATTCAAGGTAACCAATGAAGAACATATATTCGGTCTTCGTTGCTATATCCAAGCAATATCAAGCTCTCATTATACATGAAATCCCCATTTCCTCTCCTCCCATCCCTAACTCCAAAGATAAAAAACAAACAAACAAAACAAAACAAAACAGAAAAACCAGTGTGATAATGTGTGTAGAGTCTTTTGTTCAGTTCACCAGCCCCTGGACTGAATGTGAAATATGAAATATGCTCCAGTTTAGCATAGACAACTGTAAGAAAAAGTAGAAGAAGGAATGAAGCTAATAGTAGCGGCTACACACAGAGCTTTAACACAATGAGATGTTCTTGAACTGTGCTTAGTGGAACCAAAGTTCTGAGGGCTATTCATATACGTATTGTGTTCGGGTGGGGCGAGGGGAGAAAGTTTCATGGCTGAATCGCAGTGGAAAATGTTGTACTAATCCGTTAACCAGATTTCTTAATTGCAGGACTTTCTGAAGACTTTAATATACAATGAAGCATGTGATAGCTCAAAAGGGAAATGTTGAATTCAGTGTTTACCAACTTATTTGATCAATAATTCTCTTTTGAGAAGCAGCCATCAACATCACTGGTTGGTAAAATGTGTCATAGACGATGTTGCATTTTATGGGGAGGAAACTGTGGCTTAGGAAGTTAAGTGTCTTGCCCAACATTTCCATCTCACATAATTGTTTTGTGGCTGAGCCAAAATTCCAAATTGATATTTATGCCAGAGGAGAGAATTTAAACATGATCAGAACAGGTTAGTATTATTATTATGGATAATTAAAATAAACAGATGAACAAAATAGATCCAGAGACGTAGAAGCATGGAACAGATTGATGAATCTCAGAGGGAAGGCAAGGAGAGGGTGGGGGATGGGAAGAGATTAACCAAAGAGCTTGTATGCATGTGTGCATAACCCATGGACACAGACAATAGTGTGGTGAAGGCTTGGGGGGGAGGGGCGTGCGGAGTGGAGGGAGTCAGTGGGGAAAAATGGGGGACATCTGTAATACTTTCAACAATAAAGATAAATTTTAAAAAAAGAAACACACTTAAAAATGACAATTCTCTCCACATATTCCAAGCTCATTGTCCCTCAGTTCAGACTCCACTCCCTCTTTGGTCTCCTTTTCTGCATTTTCCAATATTCCTCATTTAAATCTTGGCACACATTGCTTTATTGTTAGCTTTTTATATGTATGTGTCTTATCTTTCCCAACAAATTAGAGCTTGCTGTGGTTTTCCTTTGAACTCCTCACAGGGGTTTGATAGAACCTGCTTGGTTTATTAATGACCGGTCTGTCTGGCTTAGTTATTGATGGTTTGCGGTATCTTTTGACAGTATCCAAACACTATAGAATATTGGCTCTTGGTTCAGAGCCATCACATGTTCACCTAAACTGCCAAGCCAGTATCAACTAGGCATGATGTTAAACACCAACCTACCTGTAAAATACAGCTCATGATATCAGAGGCGATTTTTGCATGGGGGGTGTCTTCGTCTTTCCCGGAGGGTCTCAGGTTGTGCTCCAGGCAGGAGTCCCAGAGCCCTACGAGGGCCTTCGCGTGCTTTTCAATGGACTCTGTCTCTCTGATGGCTGTTGTGATTCTGGTGATGCAGATCTCAACCACAGCCTGGTCATTGTTGTTGGTTTGGTAATCCTATTGGGAAGAAAACCTTCACTTAAATAATACTATGGAAAATAATCGCTCACAGGTCCGACAAAATACATACTGAGTCATTTAGCAAACAGGTGGGCCACACTGTGTGCTAGGAGGTAAGGCCCGATACCACCAGGGCCTCCTTCTTCCAAGACTGACTCTTGAGGAAGAGACAGAGTTGGAAACATGCTCAAATGGAACAGGTCCATGTGTCACAGACACACAGTCAGGGAGCAGGGAGAGGCCAAAGGAACTTAATTATTCACTTGCAAGTGGGTTTAATCTTCAGGCTATTTCAGTTTCTAAGCCCATTATTTTTTGCTCTGACATTTCAGTAACTTCGGTGAAATGTTTCAAGTTACCCTCCCACTTCTCCTCATAAGCTTTCTCTCTCTGTACACAATAGGACACATCATGTCATCTTTCTTTTTTCAACTCAGATAACTTCCAAATCCATATTAACTTTTCCCAATGCTGTTCTGTTCTAATTCTCCCTCAAATACCTAATCATCTTTATTGAGAGATGATATGATACTTCAAAACATCTAAATGTGAAAAATAGGCACACTGGTTTAATTTGGAAATCGGTCTGACTGGGAACTCCACGGTGGACTGACAAAACTGCAAGCATAATAGAGCAGTGAGGCCATCAGAGAGAATGTGATGGGGCTTTCTATTCCACTGCAAGTTCCACCTCTAACAACTTTTTTATACTATTGCCACTAATGCTGCAGTAACCATCTTATACACAAAGCTCTCTATCCCTTTTTTAAATATAAAGATTTTTTTTTTTAAGATTTGAGAGAGAGAGAGAGAGAGAGAGAGAGAGACCCTTTTTTAAATATAAATATATTTTTTTAAGATTTGAGAGAGAGAGAGAGAGAGGAAGGGAGACACAGAGAGAAAAATCAATTTGTTGTTCCACTTATTTATGCATTTATTGGTTGCTTCTTGTATGTGCCCTGACCAGGGATCGGATCAAACCTACAATGTTGGCACATCAGGACAACACTCTACCCAGCAGCCAGGACGAAGCCCTCTCCACACTCTAGATTACTTCTAGCCTAGATTCTCAGAAGTGGAAATTTCTGAGGAAAAGGAGAAGAATATTTTTAAAGCTCATGATACACTATGCAGAATTATTTTACAGAAAGGTCTTACTGATTTATACTTTCATCAGCTGGGTGAAAACATGCTCTGCCTATTGTACCTTTGCAAGAGCAAAGTATTTTTAAGTTTTGCTAATGTGATCAGTGAAAAACAATATCTCATTGCTATTTTACTTGGAATTTCCTTGATAGGAAGGGAGATTAAATATTTTGTCATGTTTATTGGCCATTTGTATTTCCTCCTTTAGGAATTGCCCACTGTATCTGATGTCTATTTTTCTTCAGATGACTTCATTAGTTTTGGTCCTCCCTTAGTGCAATATCTTTTTCTATTAAGGATATTAAGTCAACTTTTGGCATATTGCTTATGAATGTGTCTCCATGCTTCAGTATTTTTAGATTTTATTTTATTTTATTTGCTGCTATTTATTGACATGCTAAGTATTTAGGTAGTCAACTCTGTCAATCTTTTGGGGGCTTTATTGATTTTCATTTTTCAAATGGGAAATTCAAGTTGTTTAAATTATTAATATTTTTGAAAATGAAATTTATGGACATGGTTCAAAAATTGAAAAGATACAAAGAAACAGTTCACAGTGATAAGTAGTCTCCCTCTCACCCCAGTCTCCTTGCCCAAGGAAAACCAGGATCGCCAACTGCTCACATACTTGACAGAGGCCCTCCAACCACAGGCAAATGTTCATTTACACAAAATCCTTTCTTTCTCTGTAACTTCTTTAGCAGCTTTTCTTTTCACTTCAAGTTTTCCTTATCAAAGGTTTAATAAAATTTCACCCATATTTTTTCTAGATTAAAAAATATGTGAAAACATTAACATTTGGTATTTTAGAAATTAATCTCTTAAGTATTCACTTAACTCTTAAATCTATCTCATATTTATGGAAGTAAGAAAATATGCACATTGTATTCTGAATAGCTAATCAAGTTTTCCCACCATTATTTACTGAATAATTCATTTTCAATAATTGATTCATATACATCAGGTTCATTTCAAGGACGAATTTTTGTTTGCTTGTTCCATTTCTCAATTCTTTTACAATACTAATTTAGCTATTTTCTTCATCTAAGCTTCACAAACTTTTAAGTGTTTATTGGTGCATTTTATGTTTTTGTTGTTGCTGTTGGAAAAATCTTTGTTTTTTCCTCATTATAACTTTTAGTTATTGCTGATTAAGTCAACCTGCAGTTGACTTAATTTGTATCCAAATGTTTAGCTCCACTCTTTATAATTTTGATAATTTTTCAGATCATCCTCATAAATTTTTTGGAAGTATTTTTGTATTATATCTATATCTCTTATATATCTCCTGGTGTATTGTGTCAGCTATGATTTCCTAAGCTATTTAACACAAAAGTGATAAGAGCAAGAATACTGGTTTAATTTCTTGTTTTTATTTCCTTATTTTTGATATAAAATGTTATGGCCAAAAGCAAGAAAATGCTAAAATGTTTTATATTATCCTAATATATAAAAAGCCAGGGGCCGTCATGACTGAAACAACCGGACAGAGGACCAAACAGCAGGCCGGCCTGGGGTTAGTGAGGGATGATCAAACAACTGAACAGCAGTCTGTGTGGGGTGACCAGGCTGGCAGGGGGGGAGTTGGGGGCAACCAGACTGGCAGGAGGGGCAGTTAGGGGTGACTAGGT